CAAACACAAGCCTGATGCGGCTGTCAATGAAATTGAGCTTAACACCCTTGGTCTAGAGAATTGAAGATTATACTGTTTACAGCTATACTAAGCATTTTATAGTACATACAATTAATGTTTATTTGTAAAGCAACATATGCTGATTTTACTGGCTGATAAACATACCAGAAATAAATTATTTAATATGAACATGTGATATTTTGAATCATCCTATCAATGTTTTTCCTGATAAATTTCCAAAATATATGGGAGTTTTTCTATTTATTGTTTTATTGATTTATTTAGGCAATTTGTCCCCCTCTCGTATCCAACAACTCTGAACTTTTACAGCCTAAACTTTAAAACATTAAAATCAATAATGATAGAACACATATTCTTTTAATATACAAATGGTATTTTTGTTTAGTTTTGCACATTAACAGATGTAGCTTTGATTTCTCTCATTCTAAAAATATGTATATCATTTGTAATCATGTATATATTTTATTGCCAATGTTTGTGTTACACTAATTAGTCATATCACATCCATAATATGTTTTAGAAGAGCATGCCTAATTATCTCTATTATCTTTAGCCCTGGAAAAGGATAGCAAAATATAAAAATTAACATGTCATTAAACATCTATTTTTCACTTGTATTGAATTCTCCTTTTGTATAGATTTTGAATCAGTTTCAATAAGACATAGAAAATTTGTAACAAGATTGGAAAAACTATTAAGACTATAAATCCTTGTTAAGCAAGTATTTAAAGCACGTGTATAAAATGGAACTTTTGCTGAGAATGGTCTCTATGCTTTGCCAATTCAGAGTCATGGTGAATTTAAAAGCATTTAGTATATTATTTTCTGATTCAGTTCTATAAGGATTACCAACATTTTGTAGAGTTTAACAGAACTAACCTTTGTCTAGCGGCCTGAGGTTTTACCTGCTAGGTTGGAACAGTAATAAATTTCTATGTTTAACTAGTATTATATAGTAAAACAACAGGAAGAATTGCTGGTATCACTTATTTATTTTTATGTTAATTCATTCCTATGTCATATCTTGCTTAAACAACTTGGTACATACAATTTTGCTAATCTGCTTTTTATTAAGACCTTGCAGCAGANATTGTTTATCAATCCAGATGATTTTAAAAAGAATCCTATTAACAATACTAATACTATAGAAAAAAACGTGCATCTATGAAGTAGCTGCAAAATCATGCCCTGCCCCAGCATGAAAGGATTACAACCCACAACTTCTTTTGTACACTGTTCAATCCTTATTTACATAAGAAAATAGCTAAAGCGGAGTAGACGCTCTTCCCCTTAGAATCACATTCCAAAATTTCAGCTTCCTTTGCTATTTTTTACAGAGGCAGCAATTCAGTTTCTATACAGCATGACAGACCGGTCGAGGGTCTCCATGTTGGGTAGGACAGGACCTTTGGCTCTTGTGAAGCTGTTCACCCACACACCCATTCATTAAATAACAGTGGGCCATAGAGAAGGAAGGGGGCAAAGCCGGCGAGAAGCGGGGAAGACAACTCCATCGCTATGTTTAGGGGTTCATAGCCGCCCCCCGCAGCTGGAGTAGTTTTAATCACCAGTCTCGCACGACGAAGAAGAACCCAGCCCTTCCACCTGTTAAAGGCGCGGACGAGACCCGAGCCTTCAAAGACGTGGCGTCACCAGTTCCTGGTGCAGAGAGACTGAGCCACCGCCTCCACACAAGCCGCGCAGGGAAGGACTCTCGCTTTTGGTCCCATCGCATTCCCTTCCATGCCTGCGCGCTAAGCTAGGCAAGTCGGGAGTACAGTACAGCAGAACACCTCCAGCACTTCTCTGCCACCTTCCTTGCCTCTTAGCGCCCCCTGCTGACCCCACTTGCCTCTTAGTGCCCCCTTGCCTCTTAGCGCTCCCCTAAGTCATCCCACCGCCCCCCAGGGGGCGGTACCGCCCACTTTGGGAAGCACTGGTGTAGAGTAATAGAAGGAACAATGAATTTCATATGAACAATACTGTTTCCAGTAAAGATAACAAAATTTCATCTTAGTTCCTTGTTCTACAGTATTTAGACATAAAGAGTGTTGGTACCTACCTAATACGCTTCTTCTAAGGTGGACATAGCATCCATGCATGGGTTGACATTGTCCATGCTCTGAATGGACTGAGTCTGATTATTAATTAATGTACTATATAACCTGCCCTTGTGAGTGGCACCACCCAGTTTCTGACGAAGAAAAGGAAGACAGATATCCAAATAACAGCTTTAGTAGATTAAGTGAAGTGTAACATACAAAGTGCAGTCAATTAACAACAATAATCCTCAAACTGTAGAATCAAGAATAGAACAGTCACCTTAAAGGATGGGGCTGGATGCTATCTTCACCTTTTTAGAAGAAGCGTATCAGGTAGGTACCAACACTCTTTCTCAATAAGGGTGGAGATAGCATCCATGCATGGGACAGCTTGGCTGTCCTCAAGAGTGGGAAGGCGACTGTCCCGGTTCTATTCTGTCAGCCTGAACTGCCTGCAAGACTCTGCAGCCAAACGCTGCATCGGCTGATGAAAACCTGTCTGTCTTATAATTCCTAATGAACAGTGAGGGAGACGCCCACACCGCAACCCTGCAGATTTCGTCCAGAGAAGCCTGCATAGCCCACACCGCGGTGGTGGTGGCGCTCCTCATAGAATGGGCTGTTGTGCCCTTGGGGGCCCCCTCCTCGTGGAACTCATAAGCTGCAGCTATGCAACGCCTGACCCATCTACCAATGACCGTTACGGAAGCCTTCCTACCTAAGGACGAGAGCTGAAAGGAAATAAAGAGCGCCTCTGATTGCTGAATCTCTGACGTGCAATTGATATATATCTTAAGTGCACAACGCATGTCGAGCTTGTGTCAGTCTTTTCAGCTGGTGAATTGGGATGGGGAAGAAGCTAGGGAGCACCACCTCCTGGGCTCAATGGAACCATGACCCCACTTTTGGCACAGATGATGGGTCCAGCCTAAAGACCACCCTATCCATGTGGAATTTGCGCAAGTCTTCCTGAACCGAAAGGGCGTGCAGTTCCAATATCCACCACCTGTCTCTTAATGGTGTTAGGTGATAATCCCCTATCACAGTGTTTCTCAACCTTGGCAACTTGAAGATGTCCGGACTTCAACTCCCAGAATTCCCCAGCCAGCCATCGCTCGCTGGGGGAATCTTGGGAGGTG